AAAAAAAAAAAAAAAAAAAAAAAAAAAACATGAACATGAAAGACACAGACTGGGAGAATATATTTTTAATACCTATATCTGACAAAGACATGAATAAAGAATATTCAAAACTACTAGAAGTCAATAATGAGAGATCAAACAACCCAATAAAAAAATAGGCCAAAGAGTCACAAAAGACAACACGTTGTATGATTCCATTTATATGAAATATCCAGGCAAACCCAGAGACATAATATAAATGCCAGGAGCTGGGGGGAGGAAAGAATGGGTAGTGACTGCTAATGGTTATGGATTTCTTTGGAGGTGATGAAAATGTTCTAATATTGACCGTGATGATGGTTGCACAACTCTGACTATATTAAAAACTATTAAATGGGTGAATTGTATACTATACGAAATATACTTAATATCTTAACAAAACTGTTATCTGCCTGTAAAATAGGCAAAAGATTTAAACAGATACTTCACAGAAGATATACAAATGTCCAACAGGCACATGAAAATAAATGTTAAATACCATTACTCATCAGGGAAATGCAAATGAAAGCCACAATGAGATATTATTCATTTGCTAGGATGGCTAAAATTTATAGGACTCACGATACCAAGTGTTGGCAAGGATGTAGAGCAACCAAAACGCTCACACACTGCTGGTGGGAAGGCAAAACACATCCACTCTGGAAGACAGTCTGGCTGTATCTCGTAATGTTAAACACACATTTATCATATGATCAGACATTCCACTTCTAGGTCTTTACCCAAGAGAGGAAGACATACATCCACATGAAAACTTATACATGAATACTGATAGAGGCTTTATTTATAAAAGCCAAAAACTGGAAACCCAAATGTTCATCAACATATAAATGGATAAACAACTTGTAGTTAATCCATGCAACAGGAGAATACATGCTGTATGATTACATTTATATAAAATTCTGGAAAACACACATCTACTCTACATCAACAGAAAGTAGATCAGGATTGCCTTGGGTCGGGAAACTGGGGGGTGAGGATCGACTGTATAGGGGCATAAGGGGAATTTTTGGAATGAGAGAACTGTTCCGTATCTAGATTATAGTGATAGTTACAGGGGCAAACATACTTACCAAAACTCAAAGGGTATATTTAAAATAGGTGCATTTTGTCTGTAAATTATAACTAATAATGTTGATTTTTAAGACTGTACACACACACACGCACACACACACACGTATATATATAGCATAGCATATATTCCTTGACCTAGTATTCCATTTCCAGGAATCTATCTATGGAAATACACATGTGTACTCAGATGCTCAAGGGAAAAAAAAAATCACTCTAATCAAATACTACAAAGTTGTTTTTAAAATCCCGGTAGACATACACATACATACTAATGTAGAAAAAATCTCAAGGACACACCATTAAGTAAAAGAAGCAGATTAAATAATGTGCATGTTCCCATGTGTTGAAAAATATGTGAAACAAATACGACCACACGTCACGTGTTTACCTTCAGAGAAGGCTGAAGGAAGACTTCAGACTTTACTCTGTATCATTTCACTCTTTTACAAAATGAAAGTATTCATGAATTGCTTGGGTAGTTTTTAAAGACTGAAAACAAAACAGGAAGTTTTGGTGTTTTTTTTTTTTTTTTTTAAGCAGAGTCACCAAATTTGAGAAGGAATCTTTCTTCAATCAAAGCCCAGGACAGCAGCAAGAACAAAGGTTTAGTGAAAATACAGTCTCACACCCACACCCACACAAAAAACAAGATTTGCTACTTCTGATAAAAGAGAGAATGTGGAGAGAAACCCCAAACTTAAATAAATACTCATCCCCCAAGAGTGAACACAGGTGTCTCCTCCTGAGGGAGGGCGTTCCTAGGTTCTAAGGTATCTCTGAGACTACAACCTCCCTCCATAAGGGACACTAGACTGGGCATCCGAGTGCCTCTGCAGGTCTCTGACCTCACGCTACGTTGACCAAGGGGTAACACTTGACACTCATTTGCTGCATGAACCAAACAGTCATGCTCCCCATCTACAGTTTGATTTTTAGAAACTCAAGTAATTCCTACCACCCTCAACTCCTCAACAAAATCACTGAAGTGCCACCAGTTCACAATTAAGATGGCCTGACCCTCTCTGGACGGTGGGGAGAGGACCTCAAGGGGTGAGAGCAGAGCTCTGGGAACCAGAAGCAGTTATCCCGCCCACAAGTGGATGAAGGGGTTTCCCCTGACTCACCTTGAAAGGTACAACGTTTCCAGATATGGAACAAGCAAATCTGATCACTCTCCTCTTGGTTGACAGTGTTTGGGGACACAGAACCTGCATCTCTTCTTTCTACAAAGAAACACTGCAAAGATGTATCACGAACGCTTCTGACACAGGGTGGGGTAGTTCAAGGTACAAAGGAGAGAAAAAAGGATTCATTCATCCCTCTGCACGAGGCAATAGTGGGCAAGGCAACCTCACAAAATCTTATAAAGTTCTGGATGAAAGCACCCTCAGACATACAGGTGGGCCCTCTGCTTTTTAGGGAGGAATCAGGGAGCCCAAGGTCACAGGGCTGCTTGCCAAATCCAGGACGTCATGGTTGGGGGCTGGGGGTGAGTCTTTTCTCAACTCTGGCTGTGCACCCAATTCACTAGACCTGTTTAAAAATAGAAGTGCCCGGCTCTACCTCAGATTGACTCAATCAGAAGCCTTCAACAGTGGAACCTGGGACACTTTTTTAATAGGCGGGAACCACTAACCAACACATTTTCCTTCTCTATCTACTGATGTGATGAGCCCAGAGAGCAAGTGAAGGCTGCATTTTATAAACTAGATTTGACTGCAAAAGCAAATACTTGTCAATGAACTATTAGAATCGGGTGCCAATACCAAGAAAAAAATAACAATGAACAGAAAGCCCACAATTCAAAATGAAACCTAATTTAGGTTAATTATAAAAATTGTAGGGACTTCCCTGGTGGTGCAGTGGTTAAGAATCCGCCTGCCAATGCAGGGGACATGGGCTCAAGCCCTAGTCCAGGAAGATCCCACATGCTGTGGAGCAACTAAGCCCGTGCGCCACAACTCCTGAGCCTGCAAGCCACAACTACTGAAGCCCGTGTGCCTAGAGCCCATGCTCCACAACAAGAGAAGCCACCGTAATGAGAAGCTCACACACAGCAATGAAGACCCAACGCAACCAAAAATAAATAATTTTTTTCAAATATTATAATATAATATAATAAGAGCGTGCAAGTGCTCTCAAAGTTTACCTTTACTAGAAGTGCTTCAATGAGCCATTACCTAATAACTACATTTCAGCGGGCCCCAACTGCCACCATATAAGCATATAAAACTCATTAGCAAACCCTCCCTATTTTGTTATTCATCTTCCCTTGTTGTTTTATAGGCCCCTCAGACAGCCACAGGCTGCACCTTAAAACCCACACCTGTGGAGCCTTAGAGCTGGCCTCCCTCTCCCCCCAGGCGCAGGTATCCTCCCCTCCCTTTCTAACAAGGCCATAATCCAATTGACACTTTTAACAAACTATTTAAAGCAAAACCTGTTTGTTTCTAGGCTTCTTACTGTTGAAAGAAACTAACCAAAAATAACTGAAGAAAATGTAAAGAAAAAACATATGACAAGGACAACTTTCAAATACAAAAATCAGGTAAGATTAGAGTGATAAGTTTGTTTGCTGGTCATCCTGGCACTGGTATTTTAGGAAGTGTTCTATTAAAAATCCTAGGGCTTCCCTGGTGGCGCAGTGGTTGAGGGTCCGCCTGCCGATGCAGGGGACACGGGCTCATGCCCCGGTCCGGGAGGATCCCACATGCCGCGGAGCTGCTGGGCGCGTGAGCCATGGCCGCTGAGCCTGCGCGTCGGGAGCCTGTGCTCCGCAACGGGAGAGGCCACAGCAGTGAGAGGCCCGCGTACGCAAAAAAAAAAAATCCTAGATTATCACTACAGCTAACAAGTCGGAGGGGGGGGTGGGGAAGCCACGGCTCACAGTCACTAAGGTATAACCAGGCCCAGGATAGTGGCCAGCACATGGCCAGGACTCAAATTTGTTGAATGAGAAAATGGATCATCAGAATGGCCAGCCAAAAGCAGATACTGTGAAAATCCAAAAGACACCAAGGCATCACAGCCTCCCTGAGGGACCATGGTATTCACGTCCCAACCAACAGGTACTCAAGAAATACTTATTAAATAACCAATCTCTGTTCAAAATTCCCCCATTTGCCTGTCACTAAGCTTGATATTTCTCAAAAAAATTTTTTTAAAAAGTGTCCTGACAGATTCATCCATTCAACAAATGTCTCAGTGCCTACTGTGGTCGGCACTGTCTAGAGATGAGCGGTGAACAAAGTCAATCTGCAGTGACGAAAAAGATGCATTCATGTCAAGAAGAGGAGCTGAAATTAAAATATGCTTCATTCAAAAATAAGTAAGTAAATAAAATATGCTTCATTCACTCATTAAAAAAAAAAAATCTAAACAGAATGCAGTGCAAAGGATGGCCCCAGGGCTTCCCTGGTGGCGCAGTGGTTGAGAGTCCGCCTGCCGATGCAGGGAACGCAGGTTCGTGCCCTGGTCCGGGAGGATCCCGCATGCTGTGGAACGGCTGGGCCCGTGAGCCATGGCCGCTGAGCCTGAGCGTCCGGAGCCTGTGCTCCGCAACAGGAGAGGCCACAACAGGGAGAGGCCCACATACCGCAAAAAAAAAAAAAAAAAAGGATGGCCCCAGAGCTGTACAGCACAGCATTAACTCTGGGGTCCCTCACTGGAAAACAAGCTCTCCAGGGGGGCAGAGGAAAGACTGGATAGGGAGAAGCAGCATCTCCCATCTCTGTGCAGATGAGGCCCAGAGAGAATTCACCCACCCTCAACACCAGTCAGCATTTGTTTAGAATGTCTTGCTCGTTCACAGCTCTGATTTCCATTCATCTTCACAGTCCGCACTGGCCAGGAGGGGATGGCCAACTGCATTTTACTAGAAGCAGCACAGACTTGCCCAAAGTCACACATGCCATTTAGCGGTCAGCTGGCATCCAGGAGCCCCAGCCCAGAGCCTTACCGGAAGTCCCCTGTGAACAACAGGGAGAAGGCGGCACTCTGATGGAGGGAGAGCTCTTATTCTTGATGTCATGAGCATTTCTGTAAATGGAAGGCAGCCTGCTCACCAGCTCTGACCTCATGCCCAACTTCTCCAGTTTTTCCAGGTTCTCAGAATTAGAGAAATCATGGGATCTCTTACAGCCAGTGCCAAACTTGCATTCACCCTGTGAAAAATACTGGCAAATGTGGAGTTTGACACATTGCTTTTTAAAGGAACAAGAGCCGTAGGGTCCATGTCCTTTGTTGTAATGAAGGCAGATCTGTTAACAGAGAAGGAAAAACGACAGCAGCTTAGAAAGGCCTCACACAACACCTCCTCCTTACTGAGCCTACTACTGCTTCCTACTAGAGGAAGAGGTTCCTCCAGAGACCTAGCCAAGGCTGCGATCCCATCGTGACACTGGTCGCACAGCTCTGAGAACACCCCTCACTCTAGATGTACGCCGCTAGCACATGCCCTTGGTAAATGGAAGCCGGGGAGGACAGCGGACTGCTCAGAACAAGCCCCTCCGCCAGAAAAATCCAAAGAACATCCAGCTGATCAGAGCTGCTCCCTTCACATGAGACAACATTTTAATGTAACTCACACAGCAAACCTTACACTACTAACAAACCTTACACGCTACCTACCCCCTGCCCCCACTGACTCACCAACTCTCTCTAACCCAGGGCCCAGTTTCTCCCAACACTTTTTTTCTCCAATTCTAGGTCAAAGAGGCTCTGAGGGTTTAAAGTATCTTCAAGAAAGCCAAATACAGCCCTTTCATTTCCCAAGTGCAAAATAGACTCAGAGAAGCTAACAGGCTTGCCCTGGGTCGCACAGCTGTCTAACACACCTGGCACATACATTACCTGCTGGACTTGCTTGTTGGTAAGGTGGGGCTTGAACTTGAATCAACTTTCCTTTTCCTCTACATTCCACGTTCTTGGAGATGGGAACTAAACCAGAGACCACCAAGGGCCCACTCAATCAACTCACAGGCATTACACTGAACAGAGAGCTACAGAACCCAGGCCCAGATCAGCAGGGGGTCCCTTCTGGAAATGGAAGCCCCGAGGGAAAAGATCAGAGGGAGCTGGGCCCTAACCTTGATAATGCCACTTACAAGCTGCCTGACCTTGGGCAGGCCACTCACCAGCTCTGAGATTCCGTTTTTTAATCCCCCAAATGGGAATAATGCCACCTACATTGCTGGGCTATTGTGAGAATTAAATAAGAAATATACCAAGTGACTAATACAATGCCTGGAACACAGTGGGTGCTCAACTCATGGTGGCGGCCCCCAAATGGCCAACTGATAAGGGGGCTAGCCTGAGAGTAGCGGACCTGGCAGGAAAGCTGCCCTGGATCCGAGCTTTTGGTCACAGCCCCCATGTGTTGGCACTGTGTCCTGAAGCACCCCACACACCCCAGGAGACAGAGGCTGCCCATTCCAGGCCGGTCACCTGCTGATTCAGTTCTCACACCACTAACGAGGTGACCACTCCAAAAAGTTAATGCCTACCCTCCCAACACAACCTTGCCCCAACTCCTGCCTGTGACACAGGAGGCTGTATGGCTGAGCCTCCAGCTTCGCATTTCTCTCTCCCCTCCCCCTAAGTCCAGGTCGCGCAGACTTACACACTGTGCCCTGACCAGGTAGGCTCCCCGTTCTCTGCCTCCCTCTTCCCACACCTTCATCCTTCACTCACCCTCCAGCACCCAGAGCAGGCACCATCTGCTCCAGGGCACCTTCCCCGGTGCCCAAACTGTGCCCCCGAGACCAGAGCACTGACTCCTGCTAAAGCACCTACAACAGCACCTTGCTATCATCCGCCGATGATATCATCCACTACTGTCCCACCCAGAAGCTGTGCCCCCAGGAAGAGCAGAAAGGGTCTTTCACCTCCTTACCACCAGTGCCTCATCTGTAATGGATTGTCAATAAAGGTTAGGTGAATTAAATCTATACTAGTTTTCAAAAGGCAAAGGAAAACACTTAAAACCTGTTATGTGCCAGTCATTTGCTATGTAGCATATTTCTCAAATGGGAGGTTTCAACTGAGTAATAAGGAAGCACTGTCATTAAAATATATCCATCTAATCCCTGTTGCCTCATCCAAGAAGCAGTGCCAGAGCATCCCACAGAACCTGTGCTAGCCACAGAACGACCGCTCAGATCTGCCACAGAGCGCAGGCAACTCTCGGCCCAGCTGCTGCCCTTTGCAGCCGCCCTCTTTACACAGAGGGCGCTCCCAAGGGCTGCTCTCAGCCAATGACCGGGCAGGTTGTTCTGGGGAGACACAGGATGCCAACCAACAAGGACTTTAGCTCAGAACTTTTCGCTGGCTGGGTAGAAGCTTCCTGAGAACTGCACTGCAGTCAGGGTCTCTTCCTACCGGGTCCCTTTCCTTCCCCTTCTCCTGCCACAGATGTCAGAGGACCACCACCATCTGAAGCCTTCCCCACCTTCCTCTGCTCCCTCCCCAATAAATCTCTCACACTTCCAATCCCACCTTGGTGTCCGCTTCTCTTAGGACTCGAGCTAGTCCATAACCATTGCAGTGAGCTCCAAAACAAGTGGGTGGTTACTGTCTGAAATGCAGTATGAGAATTCACATCAACCCAAGTTAGAAAACTTCCCCACAGACCTCCGGGGTCTGGTGGTACCTGCATTTTTCTAAGTCCTGCTAGACAAGGAGGGGCCAGCTGGAATCTCTCACTCCCTCTGCTCTGTGTAACAACTGGCTGCAGCCACTGGCCAAACGGGCTCCCCCAATCTCACAGAGGCCCTGCAAAGGAGGTACCAGCCCAACTGACATAGAGGGAAAGGAGGCTTCAAGAGGGAGCAAGGTTGGCACAAGATCTCAGGGTTAAAAATCAGCAGAGCCAGGAGCTCAGTCCAGCTCTCCCTGCAGGCAGACCCCAGCAATCACAGTGGGGCCCTTGGCCTCTTGTCTGTCATGTCTTCCTGCCTCCCCACCTCCTGGTCCCTCCCTCATCGCTTACACTCAGGCCCACCCTCTCCCGGCACTCACCTCCGGCAAGAGCAAGGGGTCGTTCTGTAACAAGAGTGTGCAGAGCTCACTGTAGCTGAGGTGGTCCACGCCGTGAGTTTTCAGCACGCTCATGTTGTGATCGGACGTCAAGTTGTGACCGTTCCTACAGTCCTTCCTGCAAAGAAGCAGGGCTGGGGTCACAGTTGAAACGTCTCCCCAAAACCCTTATGTTGAAGTCCTAACTCCCAGTACCTCAGAAGGGACTGTATTTGGAGTCTTTCAAAAAGGTGATTAAGTTAAAATGAGTTCACTGGGGGGCCTAATCCAATCTGACCAGTGTCCTTATAAGAAAAGGGGATCAGGACACAGAAGGAAGACCATGTAAAGACACAGGGAGAAGGCAGCATCTGCAAGCCAAGGTTGGTGTCGGGAGACACCAACCTGCTGACACCTTGAACTCTGACTTCCTAGCCTCGAGAACTGTGAGAAAATAAGTTTCTGTTGTTTAAACCACCCAGTCTGTGGCACCTTGTTATGGCAACCCAAGCAAACTAATACAGCTGGTAAAATCAATCTTTAAGAAAATTTTTCAGGAATAGTTCCTGACATTATTTAGAAGCACCAGAGAAAACCAGCATGTTTATGCAATGAAAAAATCATAGTGCTTATTTACAAAGGAAGAGATGGTGCCTTGCAAACACCTCTCAGCAGGTTTTTGATGAGAATGATGGGGCCATTCCCCCAGAGTCACAGCGTGCCAGTCTCTGGGCACTTACTGGCATTTAACATTGGCTGAATAAGTGAGTGTGGATACAGGCGTGTACACGTACACACACACACACCCCCCACTACTGGGGCACGCACGCGCACACACACACACACACCACTACACACACACACACACACACCACTACTGAGGCCCAGCCCTTTTTTCTGCTCCCCTCCTGCATTCTTTTGATCAACAAGCCCCTCTTGAACACTCTCTGTGAGCCAGGCACTGGCACCACGCCCCAATGATCCAAAGATAAGCCTTCAAATGATCACCTGAGTCAACAGGACCCAGAAGAGTCAGGTAAATAGCATTTGCTTGACTCAAGACACTGCCATACCTATGATAAGCATCTCAACAGAAAATTGAACCCCTGGATCTACTCCCCCAAACCTGTACCTCCCATGGGCTCCCCCATCTTAGTAAAGGGCAACTTCCCTCTTCCACTGCACAGGCTGAAAACCTTGGAGTCATCCAACTCCTCTCCTTCTCTCTAGTGGAGACAGACATTGAGATGACTCTGAAATGCTGTGGGAAATGCAAGGTCAGCTATGCTCAGGATGCATCAGCGCAGAGAGGGGGCACCTGAGCCTGACAGAAGTGGGGAAGCAATCAAGGCATGGTGCCTGGAAGGTATGAAACCTGAGCCAAATACTTAGGGTTGAGGAACCAGGCACGGAGAGCAGGGAAGAACTTTCTAGGCAGAGGGGCTTGGTAGTTACGATGATGATGATGGCTACTAAAACTCACTGGGCATTTACCACAAACCAGGGTTTGCCTAAATGTTTTGTGAGTTAACTCATACTGTCCTCAACAAGCCTATAAGGTGGGTAATACTATCCCATTTTGCAGATGAGGGAACTGAGGCTCAGATAAAAACTAATTTGCCCAAGACCACTCAGCGGGCAAGGATCAGAGCCAGGGTAGAGACAAGGCAGGCTTGCCTTGGACCTGGGCTCTTAACCACTGTGCTCATTGCCCCCTAAGCACAGGATGGAACTGGGGACCTGGGACCCTCCCCAACTGTCGCCAATGAACAAAAGCAGCAGTGATGATCTACTTCTGAGTCAGCTGACCCTGTGGTTGAGGAAGACAAGTAATTTCGCAGGGAAAGTATAGAATGTGCAGCTGACCACACCCACTCTCCCTTATGCAACCCAGAAACAGCCAGAGAAGGAAGGTTCAACAAACTGTCCTGTGTAAACCACAAGGAAGAAAACTCCGGATCATCCAGGCCAGTAAATACCAGGTTTCCAAGACAAATAAAATCTGACCCCAAATTTTGGGAATTAGCCTAATAGGGCTGCCATCTTTATTTTACCCACTACAGACATTAATAAGGCTCACCAGTGGTCCCCGTCATTAGGTCCCTCCAACCACCATTTATTGTGTCTGCCTTCCTCTCCAGGTGTGCCCTCCTTCCGTCCGCCCGGAGGTGCTGCCTCTCCACCAGCGCCCCCTGCAGGCCCGACTGCCCCAGGGCTCCCTCCACTCTCAGCCTCCACCCGGATCAAACCCACTCCTGGTGCTGCAGCCATGGCATACACTGCCCAGCGAGTCCCAAAACTAGCATCTCAGGGCCCTGGTGATCCTCCCAAGCTTCAGACCTGGATAGCTACCCCCTGGGCACACTTTGAAACAAAACCCTCTCCCGCTCTCTGTCAACAGTAAGAAAGGGAAGTCAGCTCTGCGTCAACACTAATAAAGAAAAATGAGTCATCGCCTCTTGGATCTTGTCACCACCCTCTCACCAACTCTCCCAAATTCCTCACACATACGTCCCTTCCTCTTCAGGGTATTTCTGGGCAGCTGCTTCCCAGGGACCACATCTCCCAGCTCCCCCTGCACCCAGGCAGAGTCATGAGACATCCTGTGGTGCAGGTGCCATGGACAGAAAGATAGCTACCATTCCAGACCTGGCCCATAAAAACCTCCCACCAGCTCTCTACTTTCCATCTCCTCCACCTGCTCCTTGGAACCTGATACCCAGATGGCCTTAGGAGCCATTGGTTGAGGAGGGCAGAGTCTAGGTCCGCCAGCCTGGGTCCCTAAATGACTGCATGCATCAAGGTCCCTACCCCATGCTGACTATTAAACCTTACCCTTAGAGCTGATGTGAGCAACAAATAATGTCTACCATGTTACGGCAAAAAAAGAAAAAAACTAATTCTTCTAAACAACGGGTCTAGCTTCCAAACAGGTCTGCATCACGTCCTCCTCTAAATAAGCACCCGCACCACTAAGATCGCTTCCTCAAACGCACACCTGATGGCTACTCGCCTGCCATTTGACGGGCCCCATCACCTTCAGGGTGAGGTCCAAATTCTTTAGCATTAACCTCATTAATCCACTCCACAAATCTCACTGAGCACCTGCCAGGTGCAGAGCACAGAGCTGAGGGCCGGAAAAGGCCAGCCAGGGCCAAGACAGAGGGGCCTCTGCTCTCCGAGTTTTCAGTTCTACTGAAGGAATGCGCGGCCATGACGGGCGCTATGAGAAAAGTAAACAGAACAATGTGATGGAGAGGAAGAAAAGTGATGCCTGAGTCCTGAACGATACAGCAGGCAAACCAGGAAAGGCGGCCCAGGAGAGCAGAGGTCACGAGATAAGCAAAGACTGGGAGTGTTACAGGACCATAAGGGAATCAACGGAGGGGACCAGGATGGAAGGCCGGCAGGAACCAGTTCCCTGAGGGACACGGGGGGCGACGGTAAGGAGCTTGCATTTTATTCTAAATGCAGCAGAAGCCACTGCCGGCTTGTAAGCAAGTGAGAAAGGTTTCAGAAGAGTCCTTCGGCTGCTGGGCACAGAGCCCGCCTCTGCGTGGGCCCTCGCGGCCAGCTCTGGAGCCCGGGGCGCTCTGGAGCTCCGAGCAGAAGTCAGCCGCAGCCCCTTTCCTTCTGGAGCTCCCTCCCTCTTCCCTCGGCCAATGCTCTCCAGCCCCACCCCGGTACTGCCCCTCCCAGGGTGTCCCACCCCCTGCTGGGCTCTAAGTCGCTCTCCGAGACCGCAGGGGCCCAGAGGACACTGCCCGACGCGGAGTCCGGCGCACAGTTCCGGGTATTCAGTAAATGCTCGATAAATGTTCGCTGAAGGGAATGCCGGGGAGAGGCCAGGGAACAGCCACCTCACTGTCGCCCCCGAATTTACGAAGGGCCACGACCGGGCTGGGAGCGAAGAGGCCCTCTCCCCTCGTCGAGCTCCGGGGCGCGGCGCCTTACCTGTCCCTCTGGAACTTGCACTTGCCGTAGAACACGAACTTACAGAGGTGCAGCTGAGCGCAGAGCCCCGCGCAGCCCGGCTTCGAGCCCTGGTACGCGCCGCACACGCGCAGCGGCGATACGGCCAGCACCAGACGCTCGACGGCCGTCGTGCCGGCCCCGGCCGCCCGCCGCGCCACCGCCAAGCGCCCGCGCTCCCGCAACAGCCGTTCCAGCACGTCCCCGCCGACGCTCGTCCGCAAGCGGCGCCGCAGCTCCTCCAGCTCCAAGGCGCCCCCGGCCGCGCACAGCGCCTGGGTCACCTCACGGAGGAGGGTGTCTGGAGCCATGGCCGTCGAGCCTGGGACTGGAGGGGCGTGGGCGGTTCCCGCGAGGTGGAGACGCCGGCCGGAAATGAAACCGAAAGCTCCTCAGGGCCTGGGGGGAAACAGAATGCGGCCTCGCCACGCCCCCGGCCCGCAGCTGAGCGGGGCTCGGCGCCTTCCGGCCCCAGCGACCCCAGCGGCTCTAGGCCTCACGCCCTCCCCGTCGGAAGTCCGCAGCCGCTTCTTTGGCGTCCCGGGGATTCGTCGCCGGGTCCCTCAAAGTGGTGAAAGAATAAGAGTCACCACAGCCTTGGGGGCCGCGCTCGGCGTTCTCGAAGCGCCTTCGCCTGGACGAGGGGGGTGGGGCCGCCCGGGAGCTCGCGCCGCCCCCTCAGAGTCCGGGCATCGGGAAGTAGCGCGGCTAGCTGACCCCGCACCTTTGCCCCCGGCGCTAGGCGGAGCAGCAGGGAACGCCCACCTGCAAACGGCCGGGCGGCGTCGCGGAAGCAGAGCTCTAGACGACGCTCGGGGAAACCGGGAGGAGGAACAGGCGCTTCGCCAGGGGAAAGCAATCACGCTAAATTGGAAAACGGGCTTAACTGTTAGCCTTCTTTTCAGTGCAGGCAGTGAATCCCTTATTTTAAACATGAAAGGGTATATCCTTTTAAAAATAAAAGCCAAAAAATAAAATAAAATAAAAGCCGTTTCTCCCCACCCCTGCTGAGTGAAGATGGAATATTAAAGGCCATTGGGGGCACAGGGACCCTCGCAAGCGTCACTGTTGGAAATGTGAAGTGTTAGAGAGAGCCCTTTGGGAAAGTAATCCCGGAATAGTTATTCAAATGTTTAATGGGGCTTCCCTGGTGGCGCAGTGGTTGAGAGTCCGCCTGCCGATGCAGGGAACACGGGTTCGTGCCCTGGTCCGGGAAGATCCCACATGCCGCGGAGCGGCTGGGCCCGTGAGCCATGGCCGCTGAGCCTGCGCGTCCGGAGCCTGTGCTCCGCAACGGGAGAGGCTACAGCAGTGAGAGGCCCACGTACCGCAAAAATAAATGAATAAATAAATAAAATAAAATGTTTACTGTGCGTCACTTTTGACCCAGCAATCTTTCTTCTGAGAATCTTCTAGAAGTCAAAGGAACGGTAAAGAAGTTATGTATAAAAGCGTTTGTGTGGAGGGGGAAGGGTTCTGGGAGCAACGCGGTTGATCGTTGTCCAGACTGTTAACACAGCTTGAACCAGCGTGCATTGAATCTCTGCCTATTGACCTAGAGAGAAGTCCACGATGTGTTGTTAAGTGAAAAAAGAAAGCTGTATAAAAATGTTTAGGGCTTCCCTGGTGGCGCAGTGAGTTGGGGGTCCGCCTGCTGATGCGTGGGACGCGGGTTCGTGCCTCCATCTGGGAGGATCCCACATGCCGCAGAGCAACTGGGCCCGTGAGCCATGGCCGCTGGGCTTGCGCGTCCGGAGCCTGTGCTCCGTGGCGGGGGAGGCCACGGCGGTGAGGGGCCCGCGTACCGCAAAAAAAAAAAAAAAAAAAAAGTTTAAATCGATAGCAAGAAGAGAATCCCATTTGTGTGTGAATGTGGCGGGATATTTTTGAATGGGCGTCGAGACAGCTGAGGAAGGACCCAGTGCTGTTGGCACTGACACTGGTTGTAGAGAGTACGCAGTAGGAGGTACAGGGAAAGTGGGAAAGGAAAGTTGAGGGGTGGAAGAATTGTGGGGGAAAGATATAGTATTACATTAACTTAAAATGAACATAAAATTCTGTTTATAGTGTTACTACGAAAGTGCAAAAATCTACTAAGTGTATGGATCAAGAGTAGATAGTAACACAGACAAATAAAAATGAATTAATTAGGGGATGGGATGAGGGACAATTTTTCTCTTGGATTTTGTTCTTTTAATTTTTTTAAAAAATTTATTTTTATACAGCAGGTTCTTATTAGTTATCTATTTTATACGTATTAGTGTGTACATGTCAATCCCTAACTCCCAGTTCAGTTCAGTCCCCCCTCCCCCCGCCTTGGTGTCAGTACGTTTGTTCTCTCCGTCTCTGTCTGTTTCTGCCTTGCAAACCAGTTCATCTGTACCATTTTTCTAGATTCCACATATATGCGTTAATATACAATATTTGTTTTTCTCTTTCTGACTTACTTCACTCTGTATGACAGTCTCTAGGTTCATCCACGTCTCTACAAATGACCCAATTTCGTTCCTTTTTATGGCTAATATTCCACTGTATATATATATGTGCCACATCTTCTTTATCCATTCATCTGTTGATGGACACTTAGGTTGCTTCCATGTCCTGGCTATTGTAAATAGTGCTGCAATGAACATTGGGGTGCATGTGTCTTTTTGAATTATGTTTATCTCTGGGTATATACCCAGTGGTGGGATTGCTGGGTAAATTTTTTTAATTGTGTAAAAAATTATTAATAAAATTTTATTTTTAATTTAACTTTTAAATTTTATTTATTTATTTATTTTTGGCCACACCACGAGGCTTGTGGGATCTTAGTTCCTGGAACAGGGATTGAACCTGGGCCCCACCCTCCATGAAAGCACTGAGTCCTAACCATTGGACCGCCAGGGAATTCCCTTAACTTTAAAATTTTAATTGTGGTTTTAGTATTGTTTTGTAATAAAAATAACATGTTTTAAAAAAGAAAGGAAGGATGATGCTATTATCTGAAAACTGGGTTCGTTTCTTGGTTGGGTTTTGAGCCAAAAGATACAACCAAGCCAAAGATCGACTGGGAGAAGGAAGGATTTATTACCTGCAGCAAGTAAGGAGAACACGGGAGAGCTTTTGCAAAGCAGTGTCTCCCCAAACAGCAAAATTGGGGAAGTTTTAAGCTAAGGGTAAGTGCATATTCATGAAAGGGCTTGAGCAGAAGTCAGCATAGAATTGGGGCAAAGTTGACAGAGCCCAAGCTTTAGTTAATTGAAGTCATGAGGTTCAGAAAAGGTCAACAGTATCATCCCTTAGGTTCCAGTTTATCTGGTGGTTGAGCACCTGAGGGGGGTTTAAATTCTGCAAAACAGCTCAAGTAAGTGCTTCAGACTAGTCTTTACCATTGAAACGGAACTGGGAGTCTTTACAACTGATTTGTTATCTTTGCTGTTGTTACTTCTCTTGCCTAATGACAGTTTGTTCTTTTGTCCCCTTAAGACCATAATTACTGAGACCTGTTCAAGGGCAAGCATTGTGTCCAGGCCTAGATCTCAAAATGGCTTAGGCCTAAAATGGTTTCTCTCATGTCAAGAAAGCCGGGCCGTGCCATGGGACTTCCCTGGCGGTCCAGTGGTTAAGACTCCGCACTCCCAGTGCAGCAGGCATGGGTTCAATCCCTGTTCGGGGAACTAAGATCCCGTATGCCACACGGTGTGGCCAAAAAAAAAAAAAAGAAAGCCATGCCTGGTTTTCTTTCTCCAGGGATCCCCTACCTTATCTGCTTACAATATAGCAATGGAGGCATAAATTGTAATGATGCCTCCAAATCCAGGAAGGCTAAGGACTGCCATCAGTCACTAGAAGCTAGGAAGAGGCAAGGAAGGATTCTTTGGAGCCTTCAGAGGAAGCACAGCCCAGCCGACATCTTGATTTCGGATTCTAGCCTCCAGAACTGTGAGAGAATAGATTTCTGTTGTGTTAAACCCAGTTTGTGGTAATTCGTTATTGCAGCCCGGGAAACTAATTCAGGCTTCTATTTTCCCAGTGAGACGTGAAGGATTATCAGCTGCAGGTGGGGCTGGAGTGGAGACCAGGGAGGGAGAAGATGTAACCCCGGGATCGTAGCTTGTTTCAGAGAATGGAAGAGCAAGTTTCCCACAAAAACACGGGCGTGCTAGACAATATTAAGTCCCATGTAAGTCTGAGGATCATAAATTTAAACTTAAACCAGTCAACCTGGTTATGCGATTGTTTTTTTTTTCCAGCAGAGATTAGCTGCTTCTGAGTCTGCAGGGAAGTTGGGTTCAACTTGGATTGGGGTTTTACCTTTTGAGAACAACTTGGAGGGAGATCAGGACGAGTTGTAGAGGGCCTTTGCAAAGGGGAAATTGTCTTAATAGATCATGGAAACCAATCTGGGTTGGAAGGAGAGCGAAGGTGAAGGGAGTGTAAGAGATAGTGGGAAAGATCAGGGGTTGGACATCCAAGTTAGACCCAAAAAACCATTGCAGGAATGAAAACCTGGGGGAATACGTGACACGTGATAAAGACAATAAATAAATAAAGACAATAATACAAATTATACAAATGACAGTGAAGACATAGAAGGTAGAAGAGTTGGGAGGATAGAAGATGGTGAGTGGTGACTTGAAACATAGTAGAGACTTGCTTATGAGGCAATTAAACCCTTTTATAGGGTGTTTTGAAAGGTCCTTCTACTGTTTGTGGAAGTAGCAGTCACCGTGGGCAAACCTCAGTTGTTCTGGGAACAATCACTGCGTGACCCCTCTTTAGTGTGTATCACGGGGAAGTGGGAGTCTCATTGTCGGAGCAACCGTATAACAGGACTTGGTTGTTCTGTGGCTTGACAACACTGCCCTCCCAATACCCTGCCTTACACAGAGCTACACAGCAATCCCTTCCCTGATCATCACCCTGCCCAGGAGTTAAAGCAGAGCAAGCAGCACCCACGAAGGGTCCTGCCTCAAAGCTCTGAAAATGCTGCTCTGTGGAATCCAGTAACTCCTTCAGGAAGCACGTTTTCCTTTCCTTTTGGTAGGAAAAAATAAAAAAATCCTTTCTTAACCTAATTAATCTGTTTTGTAGTTTTACACAATAACCATTAGTATAATCCGTATTTTCAAATCAAGTCACACCTACATACAGTAAAGTTTGCAAAGCATTACCATAAAGTTTTGTTTCAGGTTCTAAGGGAGGGAGGGATTGGGGGAGGAAATCATGAAAATGAGGACTATCTGTGTCTGTTCATGTGTTTATTCAATGTATGTTTAGTGAGATTTGTGCCAAACTCTGGGGAGGTGCTGATGACAGGAGAGTAATACATGTAGTTCTAGGCCTAAACTCAGGCTGGTTGTTCAGACAAAAC